CTCTCCAAGGTGCTGACCAGCTGACCTGGGGGCAGGCCTGTGCAGCCCCTGCCACTCGGCATGGCTCTTGGCAAGTCCCAGTTCTACCATCACAGCCTCCTGACTCCAGCCCACTTAGAAAGCCCAGAGGTTTGCATGGAGGGAGGGAGGGACTGCAGTCAGGGTGGTGGGCAGCTGCGGGGAAGCTGGCTCTGTCACCCCCTTGCCCACCCACTCCCGCTCAGTGTTCCACTTACTGGGGCAAGCCTGCAGCCAGGATCCCAGGCTCTGGGCAGGGCTGGGAAAGGGTCTCAGCACATTTAGCCCACACCATAATCCTCCCAATAGCTACCTTCTGGGAGCCTGTGACAGCAGGGTATAGAAGACGGGCTCCAACCCCCAGGACAGCCCCGGGGCTTAGCAGAGAGCTCCTGGTGACTTGATTCCCTGAAGCTGTGGTTTCTGGAGGTCTCTGGGAATCATTCGCTGGTGCCAGGTGGGATGAGAACCTGGGAGGCAGGGAAACCCAGGAGCACATTCCTGGCTCAGAGGGGTAAGGGCAGTGCGGGGAAACAGCTGCTCTCAAGCTTTAACTTTGGACTCCTCTGTCCTTCATCTGCCTCCCTAGGGGAATGGGAGGCGCTGAGAAAGGGGGTCAGAGGTAGCTAATCCCTCTGGCTGCCACCCCACCGATGTGGCTCTGCCTCTGGGCCTTGGCCTCCACCAGCTGTTACCAAACTTTCTTTGTCTGGAGTGGGAGCCAGAGCCTCCAGGGCAGGAGGGAGCCAGGATTAATCCAGACACGTGGCTTAATCCAGAAAAGATCAACTCGGGGTTTAAGAGCTGAAGGCATTGCTCAGGAGACAGGCAGCCCCTTGGGCCAGGCCTGCAGAGGCTGCCGGGAGGGCTGGGCCTGCTGTCCAAGGATTGGGACCAGGCTAATGCCGGGCTTGTCCCAGGACCCTGGGCCTATGGAGCAAGTAGCCTGAGGGTTGGGATGCCTCTAGTCTGGTCCTGGTTCTGCTGTGTGACCAAGGCATGTCCCTGCCACTCTCTGAGCCTTGGTTTTCCCAGTGCACATGTGTCACCACGGGTGGATAACCACTATGAATTCAATCATGGGCTGAATTGCATGGTACAGACCAGAGTGAGCGGGGAAGTTAGGGGAGGGAGGTTCTGGGGAAGGCTTCCAATGAGGGGAGGGCTTACAGCTGAACCATGATGAGAAGGAAAAGGCACCTTGAGCAGTGGGACAACAACACAAGAGAAAAATAGCCTTGTTATGTCCACAGCAGAGGGGCCAGGGGAGAATCACTGTTCTCATTAGAGTCTGGATATGAGGTCACCATGTCAATCCTGGGGTCTGGTCCAGACCCTGCCAGACCCAAAGAAGGAGTCCCTTCCTCCCTTGGGGCCTCAGTGTTCCCATCTATAAAATGATCACATAATATATGGTTCCCTTCCAGCTCTGATTATCTGGCCTGCATAGGATATGGGTTCAGAAGCCTATTGGGATGCAGTAGGGCAGGCAATGGGGAGCCATGGGACATTCTTGAGCACAGGGGTATGTGATGAAAAGGTGTTGGAGGGAAATGAGCTTGACAGTGAAGTGGAGTGAGTGGCCAGGCAGCAGGGATAGACTTGGGAGGATCAAGGGGCCCAGTGAAGAGGTGGGCAGGACCCCGGGGAAGAAGGGGCTGACCAGAGCAGGAGGCTCGGGGGACTGTGGTACGGTGAGCAGCCTTGCGCTTGGCCAGCTGGAAACCTTAAATACAAGCTGCATGACCTCTCTGAGCCTCACCGTCCACATCTGCAAAATGAGGCTCGTGAGTCCACGTCACTCAGTCTGTGGGTATTCCGGGGGTGATAAGCATGATGGCCCTGGCGGGGCACCTGTCTCATAGTAAGCACTCACCATGCGGTTCCCTCTTCCCTCCTGGATGTGGAGGAGACGCCACTGTTGTAGGCTGGGCACACTGGCCCCTGACTCTGATCAGCACACCAAGGTCCCCCCAGACCTGGGCCGCACAGTGGTGTGGAGCATACCCCACCACCCCTGCCTGCGGACAATTGGAACTTTCCTCCTGATGCAGGTTAATGATTAACTTATTTTTCACCAGGGAAGGCTTGGAGCTGGGACCAAGCCTTGGCTGAGTAGGTTCCTTGGCATTTAGGAGCAGGGTGAGGGGAAGCTGGAATGCAGGGTGTGGAGGGGAAGGCGAGAATTCTACCCTGGTGAAGGTGCAGTGGACCAGGCGTCGGAAGACTTGGATTCAGGTCACTTACCTTAACTTCCCCATCTGTAAGATGGGAATTAGAATAAGCCCTGTGCTACATCTCTCCCTGGTGAAGGGACAGACATGAGGGCTTCAAAGCTCAGTCAACAAATGTGTCAGGGACGTGTCATCACGTCTCAGCTGGGCAAACGTTGTCACCTGCTCTTCCTATTCATCCCCACCAAACCCTCATGCCACCCTGTTCTAAAACACAGCAGCTACCTCCCAGCTTACCAGGAGGCCATGAGGGAAGCAAGTTCTCCTGCTTCTTGGAAAAGCTTCTGTTTCCCTGGCATGTGGCCTGGGGTGTTGGCAGCGACCGTCCAAACGTGGCAGGCATGGGGGTTCTAGGGACGTGGATGGGCAGGAGGTAGGCAGAGGTGATGAGGGAGGTGTGGGGAGCTGGGGGGTGTCTCCAGAGGTTGGGCTGCAAGGGGTTAGGGTGTGGGCACAGGTTGGGGTGGAGACCCAGGGGCAGAAAGACTGTTGGCATAGCCTGGGTAAATAACCTGGGCCCACAGCACACATGTGTGTTTGCACAGAAGGACTTGAAATGATTCCAGGCCTGCCCTCTGTCCCCCGCAACCCCACTCCCTCCCCTTGGTCCCTGCCCATCACACCCCACCCAGACCTTTCCTTCCTCGTCACTTAAAGGAGCCCTTGAAAGGGAGACTTGAAATCAAAGGGCATTTCTCTCTGCCATGAGAGAGCCAAGGCTGCCATGTAAGGTTGGGAAGGTTGGACACTGCACAAGGCTGCCTGGCTAAGGGGGCAAGAGGGGGCTGAAATTCCATCTGCGCTTCATTCACTAAGCTATGCTATCCAGAAAGGACAAGTCACTTTCCAAGTTGTACAAAAAGTGTCGAATGGGCTAGCTGCAGCCCAGGAGAAGCTAGAGGCGACTTCCAAGCTGGGTTCTTTTCTTTGTCCCACCTGCAGGGGCAAATGTCAGCTACACACTGAGCTAAGCAGGTCAGTTTCAGGGGGTGACTTGAGATGGGTCGGGGAGACTCCCATCTCCTCACTGTCCCAGGTGGCACCATAAACTCCACCATTAGAGGGTCTACTGGTCCTCTGATTAAAGCCTCACCTCTTACTGGCCAGATGCCTTTAAAGCAGCACTTCTCAAACTTGATTATGCATCAGAATACCCTGAAGGGCCGGACTCTATAGCTCTGGGGTGGGCCTAAGTGTTGGTGCTTCTAACAAGTTCCCAGGTGCTACTGATGCTGCTGGTCGGAGGACCGCACTTTGAGAACCTCAGCTTTAAAATATCAATACCTCTGAGAAAGGACACAGGTTAACTTGCCTTAACAGCTTTGTGAGCTTTCCTCCTTTCTAAATGGTTCCCTGTATGTTTGGTCACCTTCCCCCAGTCCTGATTTATCATTGAGTCTTGAGCCCATGAATCACTGAAATACCCCAGAGGCCCCAACGTTTCAGTATATGTGCAATTCTCGTGTCCCCTCCCTCACCAAGACTGCACGCTCTGATTTGGGGTTCAGAGAAAAGGGCCTGGGAGAGGCAGAGCCTGGGTGACCCCCACAGAGTAAGGTCCCTAGTTCCTTGTGTTGCAGGCCATCTGGGTGCCTCCCAGGGGCCTTGGGGGCAGCAGTGAGGAGTATCTGCATGGCTGAGGGTCTCAGTTGTTTCCTGGAGCTGGGGCCTTCTCTCCACCTCCCACAGCCCAGGGAAAGCCAGCTTGTTGGTCAGCACGTGGGCACAACCTCGGGGCAGCTGTACATTCCTCTAGGGCTTGAGAGAAGAGTAGAGTACCTGGGAGCTGGGGTGGGCAAGAGGACAGCCCTTCTCAGGGGAGGAGAAGGTGCGACTGGTACCAGGGTCCCAGCCCTGAATGCAAGAGACAGGGGCAGGCACACCTATGAGTTTTGCTTACTGACCACCACCTCAGGAATGATACACTCTGAATTTATTCACATCCCCCAAACGGCCCTGTGGGAGGGAGATCTACCCCTCCCCCACACTTATTCCTCTCTTCCTTCACCTGGCTGGTGAAGATGATGGTGGCCTTCAGGATGCTGGCCTTCTCTCTTTCACCGTATCTTTCAAGGGCAGAATAAAAGAAAACAAGCTTTGCTACAGCAGGAAAAATTTAGGTTACCTATGGGATCCCTGGTGGCTCAGTGGTTAAGAGTTCACGCTGCTAACCAAAAGGTCAGTGGTTTGAATCCCCTAGCCACTCCTTAGAAACCCTATGGGACAGTTCAGCTCCGTCCTGTAGGGTCACTATGAGTCAGAATCAACTTGATGGCGGTGGGTTCTCTGAAGGAACTTCCTTCACAGGACAGTAGCCTGGGATCTGGGTGTGGGCCGGCTTGGGGGCAGAAGCCTAGATGTATCAAGAGCTCCTTTTCCAGGCCTCAGTTTGCTCATCTGCCAAGTAGGGCTAATCACACCTTCCATTGTGAGGACTGAATGAGGTCAAGTACCTCAGAATGTTGTTTTACGCACACTACATGTGCAGAGATTTGCTGCTCTCAGCCAACCTGGCTTTCCTTGGGGAGTGACAGAACTGTTCGTTTACCCTCCTGCCCCCACTTGCTCACTGTCTTTCCCTGTCTGCCCAGCCCTGTCCCAGCTGCCCAATGACCTGGAAGCCCCTGACTCTCTCCCAGGCCCGGCCACTGCCCATTGGGCCACTCATCCCCGTAATCAGCTTAGCGGCCCCCATGGAGATAGGGAGGCAGCCAGAACCTGACTCTCCTCCCTTCTTTACTTATGCAGACGCAGCCACCAGCCTGAGCAGCAGCGGCATGGGCAGTGCCAGCCCGGGCCTGAGCAGCATGCCCCCTGGCCGCCTCCTGCTGCCCTCCGACGCGGTGTTGCGGACAGGCCTGGAGGAGGCAGCAGCAGGGGCAGTGGGGCCCGACAGACGAGACTGGAGCCCCAGTCCGCCTGCGACACCTGAGCAAGGCCTGTCCACCTTCTACCTCTCCTACTTTGACATGCTGTACCCCGAGGATAGCAGCTGGGTGGCCAAGGGCCCCGGGGCCAGTGCTCGGGAGAAGCCGCCTGAGGAGCCTGAGCAATGCCCAGTCATTGACAGCCAGGCCCCAGGGGGTAGCCTGGACTTGGCACCGGGCGGGCTGATGCTGGAGGAGCACTCGCTGGAGCAGGTGCAGTCCATGGTGGTGGGTGAGGTGCTCAAGGACATCGAGACGGCCTGTAAGCTGCTCAACATCACCGCAGGTAAGCCCCTCTGGCATGCCTGCCTCCATAAGGTGGGGTGCAGGCAGGACTGAGGTCGTTGGGGTGGGTGAGGGCACTGCCTGCTGGGCTGTGGCCACTCTTCCCCCTAGCCTCAGGCAGCCCCAGGGATGCTGGCACTTCTACGCATACTGTCAGCCCATAACACACGAGCTGTGAGCCTGGCCTAGAAGGTTCTTACCCATCTACTTGGTAGGTGCTGGATGAAGTGAAGTCAATCCCTACACTATCTGACCCACAACCTCCCCTCAGCCTCAACTCTGCTCTCCCCTTATTCTCTCTGCTCCAGCCACACTGGCCTCCTGGCTGTTCCTAGAACACTCCCACCCCAGGACCTTTGCACCTGATGGTCCCTCAGCCTGGAGGCTCCCACTGAGTCCCTTCGCTTTTCCTAGAATACTCCCATCTCAGTCCCTTCCCCAGAATATCTACTATGCTCACCCCTCAGCTTCTTCAGGTCTTGACTCTAATGGCACCATCTCAATGAGATCTTCCCTGACCCCATTATTAAAATTGCTGTCCACTCCGCACCTGCTATTCCTCTTCCTCACTTTACTTCTCTCATAGCACTTATTACTGTCTGACATGCTACACACTTTATTTGCTTATCTTGTTTACTGTCTGTCTCCCCAACTCGAATGTACACTCCACAGTCCTGGCATTTTCATTTGTTTTGTTCGCTGCCACATCCCCTGTTCCTAGAATAGTACCTTGCACATAATACCTGTCGCTCTTGAGTCTATTCTGACTCATAGCGACCCTATAGGACAGAGTAGAACTGCCCTAGAGGGTTTCCAAGGAGCAGCTGGTGGATTCGAACTGCCGACCTTTTGGTTAGCAGCCTGAGCTCTTAATCACTTCACCACCAGGGCTTCTTGCACATAATAGATGCTCGATAAATAGCTGCTGAATTACTTCAGCAACAAGCACTTCTTATATGCCAGGCACTGTCCTAGGACTGGGGAATTGAGTGGTGAACTCAACACAAAAGCCCCTATGTTCATGCAGCTTATGTTACGGTGAGACACACAGATCATAAACACATAGACAAATTCATCCCCGGCCGGGTGGTGATGTGGACTCCGGTGGGGTAGGGACATCAGGGGGCCAAGCATGGGTGTGACTGCCTGGCCTGGAGGAGTGATTATGGAGCTGACACCATGGATCCCTAGTCCCTGACCCCCCATTATCTCTCAAGCTTTGGAGATGCCCGGCCCCTCTCCCTGGGTCTCTGGGCCCTGGCATTTGAGCATCCCACTCCCCGTGCTGCTTTTACACGGGAAAGGTCTTCACGGATCCCCCAGGCGCAGCTCCTCCTCCATGTACTCATCTGGGCCCAACCCCCACCCCACCCCCTGGTTGGTGTTCCCACTTCAGGCAGCTCCCACAGATGCCCCAGTCCTCCAGGTTCCCAATTCCCATGCCAGCCCTACCCAGGAAGGTTTTCTCAGGTGCCTCTTATCCCACTCTGGGCTGGGAGGGGCCTGCTCCCTGAACAATGGGGACAGGAACAAACTGCTCTGACCTCAGGAAGGAAAATGGGGTTATTAAGCAAAGGCAGGCCAGCCAGCAGGTCACCCAGCTGGGGCACTGGATCAGACCACAGTGTTCACTTGCAGGCCCCGTTGTGCCTGCGCCCACCAGTCTGGCCCCCAGCCTGTGCCCTGCCAGGCTCACCCAGAGCAGCTCCCCAGGTGACATTTAGGACTGAGCCAGTGTCCTCTTCTCTCCCCTGAAGCCCATGGCTGTCCCCCACCACTCTGTGCCCTGCCATTCATTTATTCACCACTCATACTCTGAGCAGCGGCTATGCACCCAGCCTTTTGTTAGGTATTGGACAATAGTTTACTCATCTGTGAAATACAAGTGGGTGTTGGGAGCTGGGAGTTGTAGGACTAATTCCTGGTTGTGTTGTTCTCTGGTTCTTTGAAGTGCTTGGGGAGGGCAAGAGGAATCTGGGGAGAAGCTTGCCTTAATGTCACTCTGCCTTCCAGGCCTGCGCTCTCCCAGAAGGTCCTTGGAGGGCTGGGGGCCCCTGGGAGGACCTGAGGCCCCAGTGGGGTGGGGGATGCAGAGGTCCCAGGCTGCTCTTCCCTGAGCCAAGTTTGTTTTCAGGGACCTGTCTCCTTTCTCTCACTACCCTCTCTTCTTGGGCACCCCCTCCCAGATCCTAAGGTCCCAAGCTGCTCCCAAGCACCCCCCTCAAGGCCCTTTCCACCCCAAGGAGGGCGAGACCCTGGACCACAGGCTCCTCACAGGTGCCCCATCAGAGCAGAATGGGCTACATTTGGGGTGATGCCCTCACGCAGCCCCTGGAGCTGAGGGGGTGTCTCTTGCCCAGACCCTGTGGATTGGAGCCCTGGCAATGTGCAAAAGTGGCTTCTGTGGACGGAACACCAGTACCGGCTGCCCCCCATGGGCAAGGCCTTCCAGGAGCTGGGGGGCAAGGAACTGTGCGCCATGTCGGAGGAGCAGTTCCGCCAGCGCTCGCCCCTGGGCGGGGATGTACTGCACGCCCACCTGGACATCTGGAAGTCAGGTGAGCCAGGGTGTGGTGGGAGCTGCCCCTTGGGACTCTAAGCCAGGGACACCGAGAGGGACATCAGGCCAGGAAGCAGGCTGAGAGGGTACTCTCTCCCTAAGGAAGTGCTCCCTTGGCCCCAATCTAGGCTCTGTTCTGTATCTCAGACCCAGTTGCAGCCACCTCCCTTGATCCTGGGTGAACCCACCCAGCCCAACCCACTCCCAGCCCTGGTCAAGCCAATAGGACTGTAAGGACAGAGCACATAGTTCATTAAGAGGTTAGAGACTGAGAGGATACAGGATGTCAGAGTGAGGTTGGCCTTGGATGCTACCAAGTGCTGCTTCTTTTCCCTTTTGTATTTGTTTTTTTTTTTTTTTTTTCCTTAAAGAAGTAATGAGGTAACAAATGTACACGATTAAAAAAAAAAAGTAAAAAACACTGTATTTTTTTTCTACATACATGGTACCAGAGTATACATACTGTTCGCATATTCTATGCATATATAAGGTATATCTCTATCTATATCTATCTAAGGAGGCTTGGTGGCACAGTGGTTAAGTGCTTGGCTGTTAACCAAAAGTTGGTGGTTCTAACCCACCATCTGCTCTGTGGCAGAAAGATGTGGCAATCTGCTTCCATAAAGATTACAGCCTTGGAAACCCTGTGAGGCAGCTCTACTCTGTCCTATATGGTCGCTATGAGTTGGAATCGACTTGACAGCAACAAGATCAATCTATCTGTAAAAATGACGTGGCAACAGTGTCAGACCTCCTCTAACTTCACCAGGGTGGAGGAGAATCATTATTAGCATCAACAGCCCAAGGCTGATTCCTATGAAGTGGAGGTCAGATACACCACATCTCTCCAACCTTTTTACCAATTCTGACACTAGCCATCCCTCCCATGGTACTCTCTTCTTCTCTGCTTTGTTCGATAATTCCTTACAATGGCCACACAGAACTCACAGACCATTCTTACTGGGATGGGGTTTATTAGGGAAGTAGCAGTTTACAATTCAGGATCAGAAAAGACTCAGGATACGGTTCTTCGATCAGGACAGCCTCTTCTGAGCTGTGCCCGCAGGCAGGCCTCTCTCTGGCCCTCAACCCCTTGGCCCCTCGGCCTGGCCTCTGCCCTTCTTGTGCAAGTGTTACAAAGCTCTTTATCTCCGTCATTAAGTGCCCAGGGGCACCCCAGTCTGCCAGTAAGCCTCCTGCTTGAAGGTGCTCAGCTTTCTTGGCTGTGGGTAGGCAAGCCCTACTGCAGCTGTCTCTGGCCGGTCTCCTGGTTCTTGCCATCTTGAGCCGCTATCACTCTTGTTACTGCTCACCACCATCTCTCACTGTCTTCCATGTTACAACTCCTCTCTCTAGCTCCTGGGTCTAGGAGGTTCTCAGCACAGGGATCCTAAGTCCAAAGGACAAGCTCCACTTCTAGCTCTTCTTTCTTGGTGGTAGTAAGGTCCCCCTCTGCTCTGGGATTGGCTCTCTGTTAAGCCTAGCAGGATGGCAAAACTGACCAATCCTTTCATTAAAGTTCCATACACCTTATTTGCATGGTCTCACCCCTGAAGCGTCCCATACACCTCCTTTGCATTCTTAGCAACGCTGTTCAATCCCCTTAGTAGGCCGCAAGTACCTTATTTGCATAGACCCACCCAATCATTTTGTAGGAATCACAAGACCATGCATGTCTTAAAAACAAACCCAAAACCAAACCTGTTGCCATTAAGTCAATTCCGACTCATAGCGACTCTATAGGACAGAATAGAACTGCCCCATAGGGTTTCCAGGGAGTGCCTGGTGGATTCAAACTGCCAACTTTTTTTGGTTAGCAGCTGTAGCTCTTAACCACTGCGCCACCAGGGTTTCCATGCATGTCTACAAGGGCCGTATTAAGTAATTCACTGCACCGCACTATATATAATTTATCTTTTTTTTTTACATTCATGGTAGCAGAGTATACATACTGTTCTGCATTTGACAGTGTATCTTGGATATTGTTCTCCATTAGTATACATACAGCTGCCCTATTCTTTTAATGGCTGAAGCCAACCCCTAATGTTCAAATTGTCTAGATCCACCAGGCACCCATTGGGTGCTTTGGAGGAGGCAGTGCAGGTGGCAGTCAGTGCCAAGCTGAGAGTCAGCGGTAACGTGGGAAGAAGCTGAGCTTGCGCATCATCCCTGCCCCTCAGTGGCTGCCTCCCAACCTCTACTGCTTGGTCTGGAGGTGGGAAATCCAGGGAGCGGGCTGGTGGGCTGTGTGGGGCGCAGCAGGGACTGGAGGAGCTTGGTGAACTTGGCAGTGGAGGGCACTGAGTGAGTTGCTGTGTGGACTTAATTACCTTGAGTCCTCACAAGATCTGTGAGGTGTCATGGACCCGTTTCACAGGTGAGGAAAGGGAGCCCCACTGAAGCTCAACTTCTGCTCTCCTCATCTGAATGATGACGTGTTGCATGCAGGATCTCTAAGGCCCCTCCTAGCTCCAAAATCCTAGAATTTTCTTCCAGAAAGCAGCTCTGTATAAACAACTTGTCTTCCTAGACTGACAGGAGGGAAGGAGCCATAGGGACAAACCCCAGTCACAGGCAGCTTTCTGTGGCCCTGTGGTCCCACCCAAATGCAGATTCTGTAGGGTCTCTCCAGGTCCCCCAACCTCCTCTCCTTGCCCCACAGCGGCCTGGATGAAAGAGAAGACCTCACCTGGGGCGATTCACTACTGTGGTAAGCCCAGGAGACAGCAGGGAAGGGGCAAGGGTGAAGGGTCTGGGGTTGAGGGCTGGCCTTGGCTCCCCACTTACCTCCACCGTCCCTGCTGCCCAGCCTCGACCAGTGAGGACAGCTGGACCGACAGCGAGGTGGACTCGTCCTGCCCTGGGCAGCCCATCCACCTGTGGCAATTCCTCAAGGAGCTGCTGCTCAAGCCCCACAGCTACGGCCGCTTCATCCGGTGGCTCAACAAGGAGAAGGGTGAGCAGGGTGCCTGTGGGGGAGCACTGTTGGTTTGGGGGGTAGACAATGGGAATGAGCGAGCCCTGGGGTTGGTGGCAGAGCAAAGGGGTCAGAGGCTGGGCAGAGAGGTGGAGCTGCCCCTCCACCCTTCGCTCCAACATGCCACTATTACTGGATACCTCCTTCCACCAAGATCTGTGTGCAACTTTTGTCCATTTCTGTCTCCCCAGCCAGACTCCATCTTATTTCAGATCCCCAGCACCACAGCGCCCGGAACATAAAACCAATTGCCATCAAGTTAATTCTGACTCATGGCAACCCCGTGTGTGTCAGAGTAGAACTGTGCTCTGTAGGGTTCTCAATGGCTGCTGTTTCTGAAGTCGATTTCTTTCAAGGCATCTTTGGGTTGACTCAAACCTTCAACTTTTAAGTTAGCAGCCGAGCACGTTAATTGTTTGCACCACCCAGGGATTCCGCCCAGAACATGAAAAAAAACAAACTCATTGCCATCGAGTTGATTCTGACTCAAAGCAACCCTATAGGACAGAGCAGAACTGTTCCTTAGAGTTTCCAAGGAGCAGCTGGTGGATTCAAACTGCTGGCCTTTCGGTTAATAGCCAAGTTCTTAACCACTACGCCACCAGGGCTCCTAACTCAGAACACAGTAGGGGCTTAAAACTATTTGCTGAGAATGGGATGCAGTCTTTGCCTGCAAAATGCCATAGCTTCACAGGGGAGGCTAGACCAATGGTGTCCAGTAAGAAATACAATGCAAGCCACATATGTAATATTACATTTCTTAATAGCCACATTTAAAAAAAAATAAAGAGGTCTTTAGCAGCCAAAAAAATTTCCTAATAACCATGTTTAAAAAAAGGAACAGATGAATTGAGTTTTACATTTACATAAAAATGCGCTTATTTAACCCAATATATCTAAATTATTATAATTTCAACATATAATCAGTATAAATGTTACTAATAAGATAGTTTCCTAAGTCTTCTAAATATAATGTGTATTTGACACTTCTAAACCAAAACCACCAAACCAGTGGCAGTTGAGTTGATTCTGACTCATGGCAACCCCATGAGTTAAAGAGTAGAACTGCTCCATAGGGTTTTCTTGACTATAATTTTTACAGCAGCAGATCACCAGGTCTTTCTTCTGCAGCACCACAGGATGGGTTCAAACTGCCAACCTTTAAGTTAGTAGTTGAACACAAACCATTTGTGCTACCTGGGAACCTTGACCCCATGTATAAACCAAACCAAACCCACTGCCGTCGAGTTGATTCTGATTCACAGCGACCCTATGGGACAGAGTAGAACTGCCCCATAGGGCTTCCAAGGAGCTGTTAGTGGATTCGAACTGCTGACCTTTTAGTTAGCAGCCTGAGCTCTTAACCACTGCTCCACCAGGGCTCCCAACCATGTATAGCACCTCTCAATTCAGACTCGTGGCAGGAGGGTGTGGGTATAATGGTTTGAGGTCTCGGAGGATCCTAGGCCACAATGGCAGGGTGCCACCAGGGAGAGGTGTGACAGCTTTGCTCTCCACCACACCCCCGAGCCTGGCCCCTGCTCTGAGCAGAGGGAGGCCCTGGCACTGATTTCATGGGACTGACCTGTCGGTCTTGGTCTTTTTCCTGCCTGTCACCCCCTCCACCACTTGTGTTGCCGGCTCTCTTTAAACTCTCCTGCTCCCAAAGGCATCTTCAAAATCGAGGACTCAGCCCAGGTAGCCCGGCTGTGGGGTGTCCGCAAGAACCGTCCCGCCATGAACTACGACAAGCTGAGCCGCTCCATCCGCCAGTATTACAAGAAGGGCATCATCCGGAAGCCAGACATCTCCCAGCGCCTGGTCTACCAGTTTGTGCACCCCATCTGAAGGCTGTGGGTGGGCTCAGGGCCTCCCTGGAAATCTGCCCATGCCAGGCCTCCCTCCTGCCTGCCCTGCCTTGGCCAGACCCTGAGCGGTGGTGGAGAGGGCAATCTGCTGGCGTGCCACAGTCCAGGGCCAGGGAGGGGGTGGCCCATGCTCCCAGGGGTATAACAGTGCTCTCTAGAGCCAGGGACCCTGGGGTGGGCATGCTTCCCCCTCAGGCCTGACTGCTCAGCTGCCCAGGCACTGGGGTGGCCCCATGGAGGCCAGGACAGCCAGGGCTGTTCTCAGTGTTCACTGCTCCCCTGGGAAGGACTTCCCTCCAGCCTCAACCTCTGACTCCAGAATTGCCCGAGCAGAGCCGAAAGCCTACAGGATGGCAGTGACCTGGCCAAGGTCACTCAGCCTGTTTGTGGCCAAGCCAGGTCTCCTGACTCACAATCCAGTACTCTCTCTGCCACAGCCCACTGCCATCCATGCTGCACTCGCCTGGCATGGTGCCAGGAGAAGTTTGCATCCCTGAGTTGGGGAGCTGGGGGTGCCCCATGAATGGATAATAAAGATACTAGAGAACTGACATGTATGTCCCCCAGTGTCTGTACTGTGAATGGCACAGCCAGAGGCCACCAATGGTCAAAAGTGATGTGGTCACAGGGGCCTGGGGTGGTCCAGGGAGGCTGCCTGGGGGAGGTGGCATTGAGCCGAGCCTGAACAGAAAGGGACAGTTCATTGGTAGGAGCTTGGAGGAGAGAGGCAGTGAGTCCTCAAGTCCAAGGAGAGACAAGAACCCTTGGTTCAGGGGGGCAGGGCCACAGCTGATGGGGGTCCAACATTTAGGATTGGAGAGAAGAAGGGCCCTCCAACTCCTCTTGCTCTGCTGGGGGCTAAGGGGCTGACCCTCCTTACAGGTGGCACAGAGCCCTAGTCGCTGCTTGCCAACCAAGGGAACTGGACCCTGCAGTGGTGGTGCTCTGGGATGGGCTGTGGGAGTGGGCTTGGGGAGGACTGGTACTTCAGGCCCCCTCCTGGGGCAGCAGGACAGGGCGAAGACAGGTTGGCTGGTTTGGGGCCTCAGCGGCGCAATCCATGAAGCCGTGAGCCCTGTGTAGTGTGTGAGAGTGTGTGAGCGCATGATGGAGGAAGGGTGTGTGTCATGAGTATGTGTGTATGTGTGTATGTGTGTGCTGGGTGAGATGGGGACCCACTGCCCTCTCTCCTGGGCAAAGCACTTCGTGCTTCCTTGTGCATCCCTCCCCCTGGGAGTCAATGTAATTTATTGAGCAACTTGGGTGTCCCAAGGGCCTACCATGTGCCAGATGCTTCCACTACTTTTCTGTCATTAACTCTCCCAACAAAACCATGAGGTAGGGGTTACTCCTTCATCTTGCAGATGATGAAACTGAGGCTGGGAGAGGTTAAGTGACTTGCTCTTAGTCATACAGCCAATCAGTGGAACTGAATCCACATCTGTCTCTCCCCAAGGACAGGGTGCTCCCTGCCCCTCCATACCTCCTGCTTGGTGACGGGACAGCATCTCCATGCTCCACAAGCCTGGGCCCCTGAAGACAGGTTTCTGGGAGACAGGAGGGAAAGCCAGTGCCCCAGAACACCAGGGGTTAAGCCTTGGCCAGTGCTGCCTTCCTCTGCCTCCAGCAATTTTATTGTCTCCAGAAGCAAGTTTACTCCTGGCAGTGAGCAAACAACACCTTGGCATCTGTCAGTGGGACTCGACCAGGGTGGGGGAGGTGGCCTGCCCCAGGCTTGTGCCTAACTGGGCCCCTGCTGTCTACCCACGCCTGGGGAGAGGGCAGAATGGACCCCGGCCAGACCCTGGCATGGCTCTGCTGTACTGGTTTTGTCTCCAGTCTGCCAGCCCTGCCCCCAGCTGAGTCCCTGGAGCCACCTGCTTGCACACCCCCAGCTGGGCCTTGGCCTGGAGAAGCCTCAGATCTCATGCAGGGGATGGGAGGAGAAGAGGGAGATTAGGGCTATGGAGTGGGAGCTGGAGCCGATCAGGGGTGGGGGTGGGGTGGGGCAGCTCCCTACTGAGCGGATCTGCTGCACACGTCCTCTTGGCATGTCCCCCTAGCGAGCACATGCCCATCTAGTGACACCTTGTATGCTGGCAGCAAACTGCGAATTCTTCTTCCTCTTCTGCATCTCCCTGTCAGAATCCCACCTGGCCTATGTCTTTCCTGTACCGCTCTTCACGGGACTCCTGCATCCAGGGCTCCCCATAACTAAACGGAACGGCTTGCACAATAAGACAAGGCAGCCTTTCATCTTTATTTGAAGATTCCTCTGTTTGGTTAGAAGCAAGGGTTCAAACGGAGGTGGATTTTGAGGGGGTTAAGTGAGACGGAGCCCTGGTGGCACAATGAGTAAGCGTTTGACTGCTAACCAAAAGGTTGATGGTTCTAACCCGTCCAGTGGCTCCATGGGAGAAAGACCTGGCAAACTGCTCCAATAACGATTACAGCCTAGAAAACCTTATGGGGCAGTTCTACTCTGTCACATGGGGTTGACTATGAGTCAGAATTGACTCAACTGGCGCCTAAAAACAAGAAGAAGAAATGAGAAGGGGGAGGTGAATGTATTCAATCCAGGGTTTCAAACTGATTTGTTCTGCTTTTAACTCGAGCTGAGAATTTGTATTTCTAACAAGTTCCCAGGCAATGCTAATGCTGCTGGTTAGGGACCAGTTCTGAAATCACTAGTAGAGCAGTGGTTCTCAAAATTTATTATACATAAGAATCACCTGGGGAACTATACATAAGAATGACCTGGGGAACTTGTTAAACTGTAGATTCTGATTCATTATATCTGGGGTGGAAATGCAAATTTGAACGAACAGGTTTGAAGCCCTGATTCAGTCCCTGTCTGAACAATTCCTCCCTGCCCTGAGCATACCCTGAGGCTGGGGAAAGTAGTGGGGGTGAGGGACTGTCCTGTATTTGCTTTGAGTCATGGGTTTATGTCAAGGCTCTGCCTCAGACAGACATTTAACCAGATTAAGGGAGGCTGAGACCTAGGGTGGGAATGGGGGTGGGCTCACAGGAAACTGATGGCAAAGTGAGGGCTCGAGACGCCTGCCCTGCCGCAGAAGAGATCTAGCTGGGGCTGGCACTAAAGCTGGAGCAGTGGCTGAGGTGGAGGCAGGGCTAGGACAAGACTGGGCTGAGTCAGAGTGGAGCTAGTCGTGGGGCAGGGGTGAGGCCTGGACAGGGCTTGGGCAGGTGTCAGGCTTGGGACTGAGGCCAGGGCAGGGCCTGAGCCTAGGCCTGGCTGTGACCAGAGTTGAGAGACCAAAGCTCTGAGTCCGCTCACTCGCCTGAGAAATTCTCCTGGAGGGGCCCTCACAGGGGTCCCACACAGAAATGCCTTCCCAGGTCAGGCAAGACAGGCTAGGCCTGATGTCCACCATAGAGAGCCGTGGCCCTGTAGACAACCAGGAACCACATGCCTCAGCAGTCAGTCTTAGAATTTTCCTTGAAAAATCAAAACTCATTTGGGGGTCAAATTTACCCTTGAATGGTAAGTAGAGGGTCCTGCAGGCCCCAGCTCTCTTGGTCAGCACTTGTTACCATGTACCCAGAACCCTAGAAATCCAGGGCTGCAGGAGTTTCAAGCATAACCCGTTCCCATACAGAGAGGACCCGGGGCCCTGGGAGGCAAAGAGGTCTGCCCTTGGTCACCCAGTCTGTGGGTGGTCAGCCAGGACACCACCCAGTCCCTGACAGACATCTCAGCCACAAGTAGCTCTCAGAAAGCTTGGAAACCCCCAGGACTGAAGACACACAAGACTCAAGATGACGAAGCCCAGCCAGGTTGACACAGTTCTGGATTTTATCCACAGTCATACAATCACAACTTATATATATATTTATATTTATATACCTTTAAATTACACAATCATGTACAAAACAGGTGCATTGCGGAGACCACAGCACTTCTCGGAGTCTCACAAGTGTTGGAACTAATGGAGTCAGGAAGCCTAGGGTGGCAGGTGGCAGGGCACTGGCTCCTCACAGAACCAGGTCGCAGAACAGTGGTTAACTGGGGGCAAAACACATTACTCGCCAGACCCCGCTGGGGTGGGCCCGTGCAGCATTGCGGGTGCGGGCAGGGGGCTACAGGAGGAGGCCTTGAGCACGCAAGGGGTGCGTCTCCCACGCTGGAGTTGAGTGCCCTGACACCAGCACTGACAGGTGGGACTGGGCCTCCAGAGCTGAGGGGGGCTTCTGGGGAGACCCTTCCTCCTGCTCCAGGGTCCTGAGGAGCCTGGGGACCAGGAGAGGGTGGTCCCAGGCAGGGCCATGGAGGAGGTTGCTTAGAAGGGATTGGGTTTCGAGTCCCTGCCCCAGAGTGGGCAGCTAAGAGCACAGGCCTGAGGTCCAGCCAGGGCCGCAGCCCCTCCCCAGGCGCTAGGAAGTCACTGGCACAGACAAGGGGAGCCCAGGCCCCGAGACGCAGATGTGCCCGGCTTCTGCCTTTCAAGAGTATCTGATGAGGGATAGAGGTCCCAACCCCAACTCCTGCCTCATGGAGAAGCTGAAGAGACTTTTCTTCTGGAGTTCGGAGGGCTGGCACAGCCCCAGCTGCGGGCTTCCAGAATCTCACTCAGGCTCTGAGGGCCTAGGGCCCAGCTCAGGCTGCAGCAGAGGCTGGGAGAGCAGACAGTGCTGAGTAATGGGATGCTGGGGAGGGGCCTGCCTGTCCCTGGGGCACCATTGCCCCCACTCCCAACTCCCCTGCCCTGAGAGAAGCCCGCCTAGCTCAGGCTTCTGCCTGAGTGTCCCACAATCCTCCTGTGCCCACACGAAGAGGGTCAGAGCCTTGAGGCGGGTTCTACTACCTCCTAACAGTGGGATGTTAGGAGAAGAAGCAGGGAATGAAAGAGGTCTGAGGGTGACAGAGGGGCTGGGATATTTTTACCCGACGTGGAAAAGGGGAGGGTGTCTACAGACCTGAGGCCTAGAAGTGGCATCAGCCATGAGCAGGTTTCACCTGGTGTTGCAGGAAGCCTCAGGTGTTCACCCCAGAGGCCCCTGAGAGACCCCTCTTCCAGCCACTCCTCCACCTCTTGGGGTCTTGTCCTGCCCTGGTCTGCTTCCCAAGTCCCCCCCCTCACCCCAACTCCTAAAGGAGAGGCCGGCACCTTGTACTCCAGCACCACAACTTTCACTAACCACAGGAGACACTCCCTGCTCTGGGCAGGCCCTTTACCTCCTCCCACCCCCAAGTCCTTTAACCGAGGCTCAGGCCTGGAGAGATGAAGGGGCTGCCAGCACCGGGGATGTTGTTCCTGGAGCAAGGGCAACAAGGAAGAAAGAGAGTGACTGTCCTCCTGCCAAACGCATGTTTCCTCCAGTGGCTGCAGGCTTTCCCCTGATGGTCCCAGGCCTTCCCCAGATGGTCCCAGGCTAGAAGCTTCCATGGGCTTCACAGTGTCTCCCCAGGTAGGTGACGGAAGGGGAGAGAGGGGTAGAAGGCCAAGGGCCTTGCAGGCAAAAGGCTTGATCTTATGGAGGCTGGTTTTTTAGACATGGAAGGAGGGTGAGTGGGTGGGCAAGATGCGCTCCTCCCCAGGAAATGGGAGGAGGCTGCTACTGTTGCTGGCTTTCCTCTGGGCTTTGGGGCCCCCACTCCCTGCCAGAGAACTTATGTGAGGAGGTGGGCAGGGGTCTCTGCAAGTTACTGAAGGGGTATGACTCTGAGGAAGAGCCTGTGCCCAAGTGCTGACAGTTGGAAAAAAAGGCCCAAACAGGGTCTTGGTCCCTCAGTTGGGCCTGTAGTTAGGAGGGTTGGTATAACCGGAGCTGCGGACCTGTTCCCCCCTCAGTCACCCTCCTGCACCCCAGTGACAGTGTCACCTCCTCCAGCTCACCACGTTCATGCCTGTGGGAGTCCGGAGGCCCCTGGAAACCTCTGTGGGGGAGGAGGGTGACCAATCCTCCTCCAGCCCCACAGGTCCCACATGTCTGCATGGACACCAGGGAGAGGGAGAGTAGGGCTATGAGGAAATGGCACTCCCCAGGGCAGAGTGGAACACTGGAGATCGGGAGGCCTCCCTTCTCTGGCGCCTGCAGGGGAGGCCTTTGAGAATAGGGTAGTGATGGAAAGGTAACAGGATGGGGCGGGGGAAGAGGTTAGGAAGCCAGGCCCAGGGAAAGGGGGAACAGGTGCTGGCAGACTGTGGTGGAGGAGGGTTGGAGGGAGCCTGGCAGGGTAAAAGGGTCCAGGAGACGTCCGTCAGGGCTCGGGAGACTCTTTGGTGGGATCTGAAGAGCAGATGCCATGATGTGGCTGTTGGGCTAAGTGCTAAGACCCTCACCTATCCTGGGGCCTCCACCCCAAGCCCTACCACCTGGCATCCAGGTGGCCCTGCAAATGCTTCTGTCACTTTGTGTTTTTTGTTTTGTTCTGTTTTAACTTTTAAAAAAATAAAAGCTTGATCGGAAAATATGTCTGGAACTCTATGGCAGGGGAGGGAGACGAGAGTGGGAAGGAAAGGGTGGCGGTAGGCGAGGAGTGAGGGGGCGTGTGGAGGGGAGCAGGGCAGCTAGATGGCCTCCACGTAGTTGGCAGGGTAGAGGCCCAGCTGCCCGCTGTCCAGCCGTCCGCGGCACCAGCCCTGCTCATCCTCCTCGCCCAATTTGGTGAGCTCATCTCCTGGGAAGGGGGACAAAAGGCGGAGCTTGTTGACGGGGCTCAGAGTGAGCCTTCCAATACTATGCTGGGCCAGCCGTAATAACCCCACCCCCCCATTACTGTCTCAGTGCCATTTGGTCTTGATTCTGGCCACCGGCCTGTCCTACCCCAGTGCCCACGTGCCGCCCTTAGCACGTAGATCCTGGCCTCATCCCAGCCACACACCTACTCATCTGGATCTCGGCCCCGCCCCGCGAAGCCTAGGCCCGCCTCCAGATGAATTTCCCAGGTACACGCCTGCTCCCCGACAATGCCCGCCCCCGGGTCCCAACTAGGCCACGCCCAATGTGTTGGCCACGCCCACATGCCCAAGTCCCACCTCCAGGCTCATTTCCGGCAAATCCCCGCGTCCCCGGCCCTCACGCCCCGCCCCCACCCCGGCCACACATCCAATCCAGGCCCAGGCACGGTCCTCCAGCGCTCAAGTGCCGACTTTGCCTCACCCTCATGTTTAACCTCTGCTGCTCTGCCCTGCCCGCGTACCAGCCTTAAAGCTGAGCTCGTCCTGCTCCTGGCCGTCGTAGTCGTACAGCGCTCGCACGCGCACTCCCTTGGCGTCATCCTCAAAGGAGTTGGCGCCCCCGTTGGCCTCACTGCCCCCAAAGGGGTTCCCACTCTCGTCGTCCGACCACTCGGTGGCGTAGGCCTGGCCCCTGTCGTAGCTGCTAACGCTGAGATAGATGCAGACGGAGGACCTGGCATGAGGCCTTGTCCATAGAGCTGCACCTCTTCCTAACTAGAGATCTAGCCTCCAATTCCCCCCAAGGCTAGAGCCAGGACTGTCCGCGTAGGAGGGAGTCCAGAGCCAGTGACCCTCATGACAGCTCTTTAAACAGATGTGAGGGCAGGGCCATTAGCACTATTACCCAACACTTGAGGGACGAGGGTGCTGAAGGGGACTCCAGGGAACAGGTGACCCCTCGTCTGAGAGGGGCAGTACTACCTAGTGGTTATGAAGAAGGATTCTGGAGCCAGACCTCCTGGGCATCATATTCTGGCTTTGAGGCTTACTAACTAGCTTATGATCTTGGGCAAGTCATAATCTCTCTTGGCTTCAGTTTCTCCCTTTGTAAAATGGGGATATTTATAGATCTCCCAGAGTGCTGGGAGGCTGAAATGAGTTAATATTGGAAAATGCTTAGGACAGTGCCTGACATACAGTAGGCGCTCTAGGAGGATTAGTCCTGGTGGTACAGTGGTAAAGAGATCTGTTGCTAACCAAAAGGCTGGCAGTTCAAATCCACCAGTCGCTCCTTGGAAACCCTGTGGGCCAGTTCTACTCTGTCCTATAGAGTCGCTACGAGTCGTAATTGGCTGGACGGCAATGGGTTTGGTTTTTTGTTTTCTGTCTTTCAGAGCAACATATGGTTGCTGTAAATGATGGTCTGAAGGGTCTCCCAGGGTAAAACTCAGCTGCCCTAGTGTGTGGGTCCCTCTGGCCCCCAGGAAGCTCCAGTGGGAGACACTCACCTGCCACGGTCCCCAGCCTGGGATATAGACTCCACTGCCCCAGTGGCATTGGCCAGCGTCGCCCCCTCTGCCTTCTTGGGCTGTTTCTCCTTTTTGGCAGTGGTGTGAGGGAGATCTGGGTTCCACTCCTGGTGGGGGCCAGGAGAGCAGTCAGGCTGGGGAATCTGCACCCTGAGGCTCCTTCCAGCCTTTTCAGGTTCCCCTTCCCCATCACCACACATCCTCACCTCAAACTGGGGCCAGTTCATGGGCATACCAGGGCCACTGGTGCCACGGAACCATCTGAGGTCCTCCTGGGCATCAGCCCCCCGAATGGCCTGCTCCAGCTCACGGTACACGTGGATATAGCTGTTTGCAGGAGAAATGGGAGAGGTGGGAACACAGATTCACCGTGGCCACTCCTCATCCTCTGTGAGGGCTCAGAGCCCATTCAGGGGACCAAGGCAGACTGCTTCCCAAGGAGCAATCTCCATGTGGGAAAATCCAGGCATGCCCAGTGGGCCCCTTTCTCCATTCCCATGTTAGCCACTCACCCATCCATCCAAGCACATGTTCTTGAGTACCTAGTATGTATCAGCTTACACCCAGGCAGCCACTGTATTTGAAGCCTCTTCCCTCTTGCCTCCCCTTTCTGTCACTATAACGTAGAGCTTGGGCTGTCCTGTGTGCCAGTTATACCCTCTGCTGGCTGTACCTGTGCCCACCATGCCCACTACACCCAGGTACCTGCTATTCTCAGCTAGGTTGAGGTGACGTTTGATGTCCAGCAGCACCTCCTTGAGGAAGACCAGCCGCTTTTCCTCAAATTGCTGGCACTGTTCAAACACCTGCTCCATACCTTCCATGTACTGGGGTGTGGTCTTGCCCACATCTTCCAGCACCTTCTCGTACTTCTCCTGTGTCTATGGGCACCCAGGTCGAGGGAGGGTAAGACCCAGGCCCACGCCTCCCAGCCACCATCCACTCCAAGGGTCCGTTGGACTCTAGCCCACCACAACCCCTAGCCCGATTGGCACCTTCTGCACATCCTGCTTGCACTTATCTACTTTGTCCTGCAGCTTCTTCTGCTGCTCAGGCGTGACCGACTGCTCTGTCTTGCTATTCATCTCCCGTGTCATGGCCAGCTTCTCCTCTTTGCAGGCCAGATGGTAGGCCTTCTTGGCTGCCTCCAACTGTGGGGAGGGGAGAACCAGGGCTCCCACTTGTGAGCAGGTCACTCAGCCCCTCCCACCTGCCTACTCCACAAGGAGCTGTGAGCACACATTCTTTAGAAGCAGAAGGGATGCAGGTCCTGGTTTCAGGTATTTGGGAGCAGTGCCCACCCATCTGTGGATGCTTCCCTGATGATAGTACCTGCTGCCTCTGTGGACACCCTCCTATTGGGCAGTGCAGTGCCCATCCCATCTGTGGATTCTGAGGGCGATGCGCCCTTCTGCCCCTGCTGGTACCTTTCTTGGGGACAGTGTCCCTTTACCCATTGGGCACTGCTTGCCCCATCTGTGGGTATTTCTTCCTGGAGGGCTGTGCTGCTGCTCCCATGGGTACAGTCTCAGAGGTCAGCGCCCTACACTGGCACCCCTCTGAGCTCAGCCGCCCACCCCCACTCCATCTGTGGTAGCCGCCCACTGGGCACCTCCTTCATCTTCTTGGCCCAGGGCTTCTGAGCTTTGCGGAAGCCATCTTCAGCCTCTTTGGTCTCCTTGAAGCTGCCCATGATCTGCTTGTGATAAGCGTCCTTCTGCCAGTTCTTGACCTTCTCCAGATCCTCATTCAGCAGGTTGTTCTTCATCTCCTGGTGCAACTCGCTCACCTTGTCTGCCTCCGTCATCATGGCACCCCAGGCCCGCTCCAGGCTGCCATACTGTGGGCCTGAGGAAATGGCCGTGGGGTCATGGGGGCCCTCATCACCCCCACCCAGAGGCCCCCTCATGCCTCCTTTCTCTGAGGCTTTTCCCTTCCTTCCCATGGCTGCAGAAATGCCCCCCTCTGCTCTTCCCATAGTCCTATCCATTCTCCAGGGCCCAAGTACAGCCACCTCCTCCAAGAAGCCTCCTCTGACTGCTCTACTCTCACACACCTCGCCCTACAGCCCTCATTAGATTCTGCTTGCAGTACACTGTGCCTACTATGCCTTGTCTCCCCCATCAGCTTGTGGACCCCATGGGGAGCAGCTTGGACCCCGTGGGCTCTCAAAAGCCCAACACAGCACCAGGCACATAGGAGGAGCTCCAGGAATGTTAGCTGAATGTAAAACTGAAGAACCAACTGGTGATAGATGCCACCATTTGTTCAGCTGTATTCTGGGCACCAACTTTGTACTTGGTGCTGTGCGAGGTGGTGCAGACCCAGTCGCTGCCCTCATAGGGTTTAGCGTCTAGCGGAAGAGAAAAGCATCGACAGATACATGTAAACCCCAACTTGAAACTGCTCTGGATTAAAGGAAACTAGAGATGTGACAAGTAAATGCAACATGTGATCCTGGACCACCACAATTGCTAGAGTAAAATTTGCATATGGGCAATATTAAATGTCCTGAATTTGACAACTGAAATATGGTTATGTGAACAAATGCTCTTCTTAAGAGATACATGAAGAATTTAGGGGTGAAGGAGCACAACGTCTCCAACTTATTCTCAAATGGTTCAGAAGAAAGTATGCATATAAATAGAGACGGAGTGGTAAAGCAAATGCAGTAAAATGTTAATACCTAGTGGTTCTGGGTGAAGGGTATTGTAGGAGTTCTCTGCACTATTCTTGAAACTTTTCTCTAAGTTTAAATTATTTCAAAATAAAAAGATTTTGTTTTGTTGTTGTCTTCTGTGTGTGTGTGTGTGTGTGTGTGTGTGTGTGTATGTGTGTGTGTTTTAATCCAATTTTATAACGTTGTACCAAGTAGAGTTTAACAGGAAAGCCTGGCCTTGTCTGGGAAGGAAGGATGGCCAGGTGTGGAAGAACAGCACCTGCAAAGGCCCTGTGGCTGTAGGATTCAGAGTATATCCAGGTGGCTGGGTGTGCCAAGGGCCCAGACTGTGGGAGGCATTTGGGGGTCGGGGGGAGGAGAGGTTAGAGTCCGGGGAGTGCGCACGGGGTGAGCAGGAGGGGCAGCACCTTTCTCGATGAGCTGGCGCCAGCGCTTGGCCCAGTCGGTGAGCTGCTGCGCGTACGCCTTCTCGATTTTGGCGCGCTCCTGCACGCAGTTCATCAGGTCATTGCACAGGCGGTGTCCGTCATCGATGCGCTTCACCGTCCGCTTGTAGTTCCCCACCTGGCGGCCAAGCAGCGAGGGCGACTCCCGCGGGCTCCCTGCCTCCCAGACCCGGCCCACCCGCCGCATCCTGCAGGGGGCGCCCGCGCACGTCCAGCTTCCAGGCCTTACCCTTCGTCCTTATCCTCGTCCTGGCCCCTCTTCCCAACGTTCATCGCCTACTCCCGCGGCCGCGGTAACTCATGGAGGGCGCCGGACCCCCTAACTTTCAGAGGCCCAGCACCCTGCATCAGACCTATCCTATACACACCCTCATCCTATTTAAATAGAATTTCCTCACTGCCACAAAATGCCGAAGAATTTTTATAATTTGGACTTAAGCTAGAATGAATAATTCATTTTGTTCTTGTGAGCTAAATCTATTATATTTATATAGAGCCATATAAGCATTGAGTTGAGCTACAGCTACTTGACATAATATTATGTTTTGTAGACATCTCATTAAACACTTACTAATTTAGGTTTGGCAGTTTTCGTTTGGGGTTTCTGGAGCCAATAGAAATCTTTTTATTTTTTTCCCCTGGGTCTCAAACATTTTGGGAGACGCCAGGAATGCTGGCTTCTCATCTTGCCTCCACCTCTATGTTGCTGTGGGGCTCCAGAACTCCCCTTTTATGCTCCGCCCCCTGCCCACGGCTCAGGGTTGGGGGCAAGGCACAGCTGTGAAAGGCTGTGTAAGCTGTGAAGTGCGGTACCTGCTTATGTGAAGTGCCAGGAGTCTGAGCTCAGGCCTCCAGAGCAGAGGGTCAGGAGGGGCTTGCTCCCACATTACAAAATGCCAGAGGATCTCCCCAGCAGGGGCCTAGCGAGGGTAACAAGCGCCCAGGGGCAATCTCTAAATTGCCCACCTCCTACCCCCCATTTCGAGATAGACATTGATAGCACCTAAGCGTCAGCAGAAACGCCTTCCCTCCTCTTGTTTGGCTGGCTCAGCCAGGCACCTTTCATATTTGTGGCGCTTTGGTTTGTCATTCCACGCCTCATCTGGCACCCCTTGAACTTGGGGGGAGGGTGCAAGTGCCTCCCCCACCCTTCCCTCGCTACGCCTTTGCTCTCCAGGGGCAGCTGTGGAGGCAGAGTGCTCAGTGGGCAGTAGTTTTATGCCATTTGTGGGTACCAGCTACCTGCTGGGCACAGACAGCTTTGGAGGGGCTGGGGAGCAAGGCCTGAGATCCTAGGGTTGGTGAGGGGTGGGTGGGAGCCGGGGCCTCCATGCAGCCAGGCTGTCTGGTCCCTGGGCCTGGGAAGCATCAAGGTCTCACCTCCCAGAAGCTGTCAGTGGTCTCCTCCGCAGCCAGCGATGCCTCATCGTAGGAGCCGGACATAGTGTGGCCGTGGGGAGATGGACAGGCGTGGCGTGGCGGTCAGTGGGCTCAGCTGCTCATGCACTGGGAAGAGGAGAGAGATTCCTGGAGATGAGGGAAGTGGCCCACGCACCCCATTCCAGGCCTGGTCCCAAACGTGCTGTGGGGATGCAGGCTCCATGGGCATGAGCTTGCATTGGAATGGGGCTTCCTGCCCAGGGACTGGCTCACCATCCCTAGGGTAACCCCAGAACTCACCCTGAGGCACCCCTCGTACTCACTTCTGGTCTCTCCTCCACAAGTACCTTCTCTCCCAGCCCCCCAGCCAAAGGCCAAATCCCTCCTCCAGCTCCAGTACAAGCACCTCGTCTTAGAAGCCTGTCCCGACCACCAGAACCCCTGATGCCTGCAACTGTTTTTGTACTCCTGGACTATTAAAGTAGAAGTTAGGGCCACACGGCTGCACACTTGCTTTATATAAATCTGTGGTTTTCTTCTCAGACACACACAGCTACTTGAAGTCGGCAGTCAGGTTCATCTGTGCATGTCCTGTACCACTTCCCCAGGCCTGAAACACTGTAGGGCCCACTGGGGCACAATGAACCCCAGCTGGTGGGGCTGCGGGGGCTCTAAGTGGGGCTCCCTTTGGCCAACTGCTTTCCCCTCAGCACTACCCACCCTGACCCAATCAAACCTTGCATCAGGCCCAAAAGACCCTCTCCAGCTCCCCACTATCAACGCAGAGCACCTGGGTCTCAGCCTCTAGAACCTCCTTCCACCCCCCAACCCGAGCCTGGAGCCCCAAGCTGGCAGCAGGGCCCCCGCCGACCTCCGGCCCAGGCTCAGTGCCTCCTCAGTTCTCTGAGCTGCTGGGACCCTGTGACTGGCCTTCTGGCTGCTCTCGTGCCCATCCCCAAAAGCCCCCATTAGCTGCTTACGTGTCTCCTGGGAGTCTGGACATTTGGCTTCCTGGCCCACATGTCAGACCATTGCAGCAATTTGTGTGAGCATCTGGGCAGCAATGTCTGCCCTGGATCTGTCGACAGGCATCACAGCCATCCAATCTAGGTTATGTGCTGCCCCAGGGCTGGGGGGCACTCCCTTTCTCTCCTTCCCAACCCAGGCCTCGCTGCCACCCCAGGCCAGATGGGCTCAGTAGTCAGGAAATAAGACCCAGCGGAGTCTAGGCCGAGCCTGACCTCACTACAAGCTGCCAGCCTCAAGCTGGTCCCGGGCCCCGGAACATGCCTTCCTGCTTCTGCACTGCAGCCTCAGGACTGTGGACTCTGACCAGTGAGGACGCTGGTGGAGGGGCTGGCCTCCACAAGATTCAGCCCAACCTGGGGGCCCAGGGGACATCTATCCCTTACCAGCAGCTGGCTCTCACGTTCAGAGCAAGTGGCACCAACACATGAGGATCCTTGGTCAAGAATGTCTCTCCCCCTCTCTGGGCCTCAGTCTCCCCATCTCTCCAGGGCCTGGTGGTCTTTCCCTGGTAATAACTCAGTATTGTCTCCTTGCTCCTCTCAGGCACCGAAACATATTTTGTCTCTTTCCCCTTAGGAAACCCCAGACTTTCTCACACACTCATCCACAGTGGGGATGGACGGGGAGGAGACTGGAGTACATCAAGGGACAAAGAAATGAGTCTTGGAATTTTTTTCCTCTTAATCTGGCATTTTTCATTTAAAAAACAGTTCTTGCTTAATAAAGACCATTCTGAATTTAGATACGGAGAAGTAAAAGGCAGCGATATTTAATGGAGGACTTTCGGCAAGGCTGGATAAGTATCCCTGGGGACAGAGACCCTTCTAGAACCTTGAAGTCATATAGAACTCTGCTCTTTGGGATCCCTATTAATGTACAGTTGTCAGGGGGGGGGCAGGTGGGGGCTGTAGCAAGGGTGGAGGATGGGGGCATTCCCTCCTGGGAATCAAGGTCAAACCCTAGCCATGCTTCTCATCCATCTTACCGGGGAAGTAAATTTGGTACAATCTTGATGGAGCGCAACTTGGTCTCCTCTCACAATTAGAGGTACACACTCTTCTCCCAGCAAGGCCACTTCTAGGAATTTACCCTCCAGCCAGTTGGATAAACTGATGGATGTACAAGGTTATTTACTACAGCACTGCTTGCAAAAGCAAAAGGCTGGAAACAATCCAAGTGACTGTCCACAGGGGGCTGGTTGAGTAAATTATGGTGCAGGCCTGTAATAGAATGCTCTGGTCCTGAGTGGGACCTGTCACTAAAGCAAAACAGACAAGGGGCAGGACAGTGTGGTTACTGATGCTTCTTCTATTTGTCTGGGGGAAAATATCTGTCTGTCTATATATCTGTCTGTCTCTCTATCTATCTATCCATCTATCCATCCATCCATCCATCTATCTACCTAGAAGCCATGATGGTGCAATGGTTAAGTGCTCGGCTGCTAACCAAAAGTTCGGCAGTTTGAACTCACTCAGCAGCTCCATGGGAGAATGACCTGGCAATCTGCTCCCATAAAGATTACAGCCTAGAAAACCCTATGGGGCAGTTCTACTCTGTCACATGGGGTCGCTATGAGTCAAAATCAACTCAACAGCAAACAAACAACAACAAAATCTATCTAGCTGTCTGTCTATCTATCATCTATCTATCTATCTATCTATCTATCTATCTATCTATCTATCTATCTCTATCTGTCATCCTTTTGGAAGGCCGCCCAGGAAACTGGTAGCTGTGGCTGCCTTCAGGGAACTGGGTGGCTAGGGAACTGGGTAGGAAGGAGGATTTTCACTGTAGGTTCTTTTAAATTTTGCTTTGGTGCACAGATTGCATATTTTTTTAAACCATCAGGGCTTTGTCCAGAGCCAAGGGAGCTGAGAGTCAGGACCAAGGGTGCATTTGCAGCTTGGAGGAAGGAAAGTGCAGCTAAGACTTGGCACGTCAGGCTAGAATGGAATGCATGGAGGTGGAGGCCCAGGACAGGTGTGACTTGCTGTGTGTGGTCCCGCTGTTGCTGTAGCCAGGTAACGGATCTCCTAAGCTCTCAGCTGAGGTATCCTGTGTGGTGGAAACAGCTCCAGCCTTGGGGACCCTGCTCTTCCACCAACCTGCTGTGTGACCTTGGGCAAGTCACGTGGCCTCTCTGGGACTTGCTGTGAAATAGGGATGATATGACCTGACTTAAGGATTAGATGAGACAGTGAGTGTCTTGCCCATGGTAGACTCTAAGTAACTGCGGGTCCTCCCCACAACAGCCCCAGGCTGGACCGCTGTACAGGGTGAGTTCAGGAAGACAGGCAGGTGGGGTCCAGAGAAGAGGCCAGGAGGGAACGTCTGAGCCCCCCATCACTGCATTGGCCAGACACATGGTCCCAC